GGGGGGGGGGGGGGGGTTGAGGGGCAGGACTCCTGGGTTCTCTCTGCAACTCTGGGAATGCTGAGCGGTGCTGGTGATGGGGAAGCCCCCGCAGAACAAGACCAATAATTGGTAGGACTTCTCTAACTCCAGGAAAATGCCTGCCTGCTATTTTTGGTTGCATTTTCAGGCCACGATCAGTGGATTTTCGTTTTTGTGAGTCACGGTGAGTCACTGATTTTTCAGGGGGGAAATGCTTACGTTTAAGCTTCCTGAAATGGATGCGTAAAAAAAAGAAAACTGCGAAGTTCCATTGATTAACCCGTTGAAAACTTTTCATCAACTGACTGGGTGTCCAAGATTAAATACAGAGTGAAAACACTAATAGTGCACAATAACATCGTTAATATGATTAGACGATATTATTAAGTGATTTTAATATTAACATAGGAGTGTCCTTGCTTGCAAAGCAGAAGCTGCTGAGACATGCTGGGAATTGTAGGCCTTTTTTTCTGCCCCATATGCTTAGGATTGCGCCCATAGTCAAACTTGGAGACTCACTGAAATCAATAGGATTTCAGTCAGAATTAATTTAAGCCCCCATGTTGATTTCAAAAAATCATTACATCTGGAGCTAACCCCTCGTTTTACCCGTAGGCAAATTTGCCGTCATTTAATCAGTAAATCCATGCATGAACTGAGTGCAGTTCCTCGGATCAATCAGTTAAAATTTCTCAAATTTGGATGCACAATGAGGTTGACAATTATAATGCCTGTGTGTATCGGAAGGACACTGCAGGTCTGCCTTGCCAGGCCAAAGTGCTTGCACAAACGCCAGCAAACTACCAAGAATCCAGCGGAAGGGTGGAAATATAGGAATAAATAGTCTGGGAGCTAGGAGAGTAGAAATCTTCTGGGGGCCGAACATGGAAAAAGGAGGCAATAGAAGAAGTGCTGCCCACTTTCTTCCTGGCCTTGTTCCTGTGGCTCGAAAAGGAAAAGCTTTCCCAGGGGAAGAGGAAGGAGGAAACGTGCTGTGCTTGCAATGCAGCAGGCTAAAGTCCAGCCATGCACTTCTCCCGTGGATTAGAAGGGTTTCTGGCTCTTAATATCCGGAGCATTTAAGATGGATGTCCCTGCCATGGCTTGGCCTCAGGCTCTTTGCATCTCACTCGGCCTCAGTGTAGAACCTGTAAAATGGGGATGTGAATGAGCTCCGCAGGCCTGATTTGAAGCTGGGATTTCCAATCTGCAGTCATTCAGATGTAGGTTTATACTTGGGCACGTTTGGGAAGCTCAGTGAGCACAGGCCTGCCACCTGCCCCCCCCAGCCAAGCCCCCCCCCCAGTACTTGGGGGCACAAAGCAAGGGGCTGTTTCCCACTGCTGGGCAGACCACAGTGTCTGGGCGGTGAGCTGCATTTGGCTTCCCAAATCCTCCCCAAACAGAGGAATATTTCTATGCACCAAGCTAGCCCTCAAAGCATAGGAACAGGGTCAGGAAAAAATGTTGGCAACCCATGAGTGAGCTATGAATGGGGACGCAGGACTGAAATGCCCTTTTCGTTATTCCTTGCTCTGCAGAGAGAAATTCGATGGGGAATGGAAGGATGGCCTGGCGGAGGCCTGCACCGCGAGGGAAATCCTGGAATGTGGAGTCCCAGCTCAAAGAGGTATTCGCAACCCTCTGCTCCAGAGCTTTCTTTTGCTCCTTTATCTCACCGTGGGGAGAGGCTCCCTTAAAAGGGGATAGTGGCATGTTTGGGGAGGTAATTGCAGCCAGGGCTTAACTTCAGAACTTGGCTAGGCTGGGGTTCTGTTGGACTCGTCTCAGCCCGGTCTACCTTGCAGGATTGTTGTGAGAATAAAATGCAGAGGACTGTGCAGCTGCCTTGGCAGGGAAAAGACAGGATAGAACTTAGTAAAAAATAAATGAGGGAGGGAGGGAGGGAGGGAGACTTGCGGGACAGAGCCCCTGAATGCCTCCTTTTCATTACGGGATCGCTGATACATTCGCTCCCCCTGCAGGCATACAGTTGAGCCGCCCTCCCCAGCCTGGCTAGGGGATTATGGGACTTGCGCTCCAACACATCTGGCAGGCACAACGTTGGGAAAAGCTCTCGCAGGACGATTGCCCCATAAAACGATATGGAGGAGGCATCTAGGGCAATTCTGGGGCGAGGAGCTGTGACTGAAGGAGAGCAGAGAGCATGTTTCGTGTGTAGCTCAGTCCTCTGGCATGGCCAATTTAAAGCGATTACTTTCGTTAATACCAGGTTGCAAGGGATGCAGAGCCCTCTGTCTCGCCGGCCTGAGCAGCCACTGCCGGGCCGCCGGTTCGCACAGCCTGGCCCGCTGCCTCGTCGTTTCTGGGGCGCTGGCCAGGCCTCCCTGGCAGGGCTGTGGGGAAGGATTTCCAGGCAGGGATTTCCAGGCTGTCTCGGAAGCTCCGGGCGGCTGGAGGCGCGCCTGCCCTCTCCGACCAACAACAGTAGCAACGCTGCATATGCATGAGAGAGAGGCCGCCGCGGCGCCCTTGCGGGCTTGCCCGGGTTCCAGGGACTACATTTCCCATGCTGCTCGGCTGCACCTGTCCAGCGGCTCCTCCCCCGCCCGGCTCCTCCCCCGCCCCCCGCTCGAGTGTGTGTGTGCGCGAAGAGAGAGAGGAAGAGAGAAAAGAGGGAGCGAGGGAGGGGTGAAGAAGAGGAGGAGGAGGAGGAGGAGGAGGAGTGAATTGATTATTCCATTGTGTTGGAAGGCAGCCGCCAGGTCCGCGGAGCGAGGGAACGAGGCAGGCTGGGAGGCGGACGAGTGTAAATCAATGGGGAAGCCCCGGCGCGGCGAACCCCATCGATTTTTGCCTGCCTGAGCCGAGCGAGCGAGCAGCGGCGCGGAGGAGCGGCCAGACGGAGGGGCGCTGACAACTGAGGCCGCCGCCGCCGCCGCCCCCCCGGCCGCCCGCCCGCCACCCCGCCCCGGCGGCCAGGAGCGTCAGCGGCGCCTGCTGGTCCCCCGCGCCCGCCGCCCGCGCGCGCTCTTCCCGCGGAGGTGTAAGTGGCATCGATTTCCTATCCCTCGCTTCGAGCCAGCGAGCGCGTAAGCGGGGAGAGCAGCGGGGCGGGCGGAGGCAGACGGGCAGGCGAGCGGCGGCGGCGGCGGAGCGAGCGGGAGCGAGAGAGCAGGAGCGAGCGAGCGAGCGAGGGCGCGGGAGCGGGAGCCGCGGCGCCGGAGGGGGAAGCCGGAGGCGGGGATGGCGGCGCGGCGGCCGGGCGGGGATGGTCGGACGCGGAAGGGCAGGCGGAGCGGGCGGGAGAGACGGAAGCGGGCGAGCCGGCCGGGCGGCCAGCGAGGGAGGCAGGCAGGCAGGCAGGGAAGGAGGGAAGGAGGCTGCCCGCCTGGCCGGGGCGAGGCGAGGCGAGGCGAGGCTGGCTGGCGGGCGGGCGGGCGGGCAGCGGGAGGAGGGCGAGAGGGGACCGGCGCGCTGCTCGCCGTTGCGGAGCGAGCCGGGGCGGGCGGGCGGACGAGGGATAAATGAATGCGGAAAAGGCGGACGGGGCGCCGGGGCGGCGCAGCAGGGGCGCCGGGGGGCGGCAGGCGAGCGTGGCCGGGCAGCGGGTCCGGGCGGCGAGGGGCGGCGGGGCGGGGGCGGCGGGGGCGGAGGCCGGGGCAGGGGAGCGGGCGGGCGGGCGCAAGGCAGACGGTGCCGGGTCGGGGAGAGCGGCTTGGCCGGAGGAGCGTGACGGGGGGAGGGCGACGCGGGAGCCCCCGGCCCGAGGGGGGCTGCGGGCCGCTCTCGCAGCGCCGAGTGTGACCGGAGACGCGGGGCTCGGGCGGGCGAGGATGCCTGCGCGCCGCATCGCTCCCCCACCCCGAACCCCATCTCGGCTGGAGGCGAGGCGCCTTCTTCCCCCTGCCGCCCCCTCAGAAGGGACCGGGGGGGGGGGGGGGGGGGGGGGGGGGGGCAGAAGGGCACCCCGGATTGTCCGGGGGGGCAGAGGGCAAGTGGAGGGGGTCCCCTCTGCGCCGCGGCGCTTCCTTCCCTCGCCCTCTCCTGGCCCCGTCCCCGCGCTGCCTGAAGGGCGAGCGAGGGTCCTCTGCCCCTCGAAGCAGCCCCTCTAAGCCCAGCTCACAGTTCCTGGGTGGGGGTCGGGAGGGCACCACCCCTCCCCTGCCAGCCCGCTCAGCCCCATCCCCTGGGTCAGCCCAACCCCCTCCAGCACACGGTTCCCACCCCCCCGACCCACGCGCCCCCCCACCTCTCTGCCCAGTTGCCCCCAGCCAGCCCCGCTTCCTCTCCAAGGGGCACGGCGCATTTCCCGCTTCCCTTCTGCTCCTCGCCGCTTTGCACACCCGCCTTTCCAGCAGCCCCTCTCTGCCAGCCTCGAAGCCCTGGGCTCTTCCTGCCCATCCCTCCGGCTAAGCACCCCTCCACCTGCTCAGCCGAGCCCCTCCGGGTCTTCCTGGCTTTCCTCTGCCCCCCTCCTGCCTCGGTGACCCTTCGGCCAGGCCCTCCCCCCCTCCCCTGCCCCTCTGACAGGAGGCCGAGGAATGATGGAAGGACCCAGGAAGGCGGTCGAGCAGAGGTGTGGAAGGCAGGGAGTGTATTTGGGTAGCTCATATTTTCCACTCAGCGACAGATTGTCGACACGCCGCTCCGT